AACGATTACAATTTTTAATCGGATTAATCACAGGGTTGCTGCTGATTAATTTCGATTAATCACGATTAAATATCATTCATTTTTATCTATATTAATCACATTTCATTTTGCATGAGCAAACAGACTCAAGAAAAAAGGGAATCAATACACACTTAACATGTTTATTGAGCATCTTGAACATTCATGTTAACAAAAAACTGTAAACATGTATCCACATTAATGTGGTCCTAAGACAAACTAACTTGTTGACATTGCCCGAGAGGAGAGCTGACCGCTTCTTATTTACAATGTTGCTTGCAACTGTGAACGGTCTCTCGCACAGAACAGCGGTTGCAGGAGTGGGCAGATATTTTCTAGCCAGCAGTGCCAGCTTGTCATGAGCTCCTGAAGGAGCTGACCACCACTCCGAGGGACAGTCCTAATGATCGGCTCTGCTCTATACAGGCAGAAACTCCTCATCTGATTCTGAATCTGAGCCCATCTGTAACAGACTCACTCATTACAAGTCTGTCGAGGTGAGGACTCATCATGCAGCAGTCTTTCAAGTAATGCTTTGCATTAAAATGTGATATTTTAAGCTGGAAGTGCTTCGGTGAAAAGAAGATTCCTTCTTGCACAATTGCATAATACTTTGTGTCGGTCAACTGTTCCGTCTTGTTTTTGGTTTTTTTATACTCAAATTTCCCATCGAGAGGACCAATCATCTTCCATATTTAGTTGACTAATTCTGCTGCCTGTCACTACCAGATCAACTGCCTGTTTGCTCATGTGCGAAGGTAACTCTCCTTGGACAAACTGCCCGAAATGCGTTGACAGAGACGCGTCAGGGATTTTGAGTCATTCTGCACTTCAGATGGGTTAACTGCGTTAAAAATTTTAATCTGCTTATTCATGATGATGGATTTATCAGTCCTGAAGACTTTCTGTGACTCTGTAGTGGCATCAGTGATCTTTCATGATGTGGTCTGCTGCTAAGCGTTCCTTAGCAATACAAATAATTATGAAAATAAAATGAACAAATATTTCCAAATTAATCTTAACACATAATGCTCTGGTCATAATTATATCAAGGTGTTTCACATCAATGAATGTTACACTAGCCTAAATTTATTGCTAAGTAGCAGCCAATCAGAGTGCCCCAAAGGACCCGGCTGGTGGTTGGTGGTCAAAAGGAGTGGACACATATCCATACCTCTACAGGTATGTCATCTGGACCAACTACCTGTCCACTCTTCATCCTCTCTACTCTTCATGCTCTTCATAGCTGTCCTAACTCCCTTTTTACTAATTCACTAATTTCCTATATCCTCTTTCTATAATTTTCTTGACTCATCAGCTCATCAAAGTACTCTTTCCAACACTATATACTAACTGAACAAATATACTAACTGAATACTTACATCTCTATATTTAATCACCCTAATCTGCTGCACATCCTTTCTTTCCTTCCTTAGTGCACATCACATTCACTATAAGGATTTTCCTTTGCCATCTCATTGCCCAGTCTCCCAGTAGTACTGTCGACTTTCTTCTTTTCCATGCTCTTCCTTTAAACCCTTTACTGTACTTCCACCAGCAAAACTATTAACAGTACATTAGGATAATACTAATGTAATAATTTTAATTAAGAATCTGACATATAAAATCCTACCTAAGTAAAATTTTGCGTATTATCACGAGTATTATATTTATCTTTATTATTTTATACTTTTTAAATATAAAGTATAAATACTTGTGAAAACTTTATGAGTACTTTACAACAAGGGACTTGCTATGCTGTCAAGTTGCTTGACCGTTACACAACTTAAAGTTAGTCGCAACTTGATTAGATATGATTGGATATTTATGAATCAATGCAAGGTGGTGACAGGTTCGTTTGCCTGCTGTGTTTGACATGACATTAGGGTACAGTCTGTTTTTTAACAGCGTTTCTGGATCAGTGTCATCATGAGTTAAAAAAAAGGAAAGAAAAGAAAAAAGAAAGATTGATGCTTCTCTTCTGTGAAAAAAGTGAACCATGGCATTTCAGGACAAGACTTGGGGAAATTGTTTAATTTTATTTCATGCTTGTAAGCACACTTGAATTTGTGTCATCCATCACTAAAACAAAACAGACTGGCTTCTCTCTGCTGAAAAAAGTGAGATTTGTGCCATCTCAGAGGCTCCTGGAAACTTGGGAAAATTTTATGTTACAAAAACATGACATTTTAAAATATAGAAACCAGATTGATTATTGCTACTCAACAGTAACTGGGGGCGGAGCTTAGCAAATGTGTCAGAGGCCTTTAGAGTGCTTTATGTTCAAATGAATGTTGTCATAGCATTAACTGAAGAAAACATTTTGCAGAGTGCTGGCAGATTTTACACACACTTGCAGTGGATTACAGTTGAAAAAAGGAGAAGACAGAAAAGGAAGAAGAGATTATTTTCTAAGGTAAGAACCGCCGGGCAAGTGACAGTTGCTAAAGTGGAAATTTAAAGGTGACATGCAGTGTCCACATTAATGTTTAACTTTTCTAAACACAGTATGGACCTGTACATGTGTTGCTCTTCTAAGGTACCTTCTTGCTGCATAGTGTGAAATGCTTTTAAGAGTACAACTGTGCATGCAATTTTTGCATTATGGTTACAAAAGAGAAGTTGAATCATGTATATACCACTTCAGTAAGTTTTTGCATTGCAATGGTGTATTATCTTATTGGATTATTGATCATTTTTACTGAAGTAAATAAATTCTCCTTTGACTGCTCAAGGACATGAAAGACTGTTTCAGATGGGCATCCCTCTTTATTTGTTTTGTCAGACTAGGCTTAGGAGGCATTTGTACATGGGTCCTCACATTTTGTAATTCCTTTAGTGTGATATAACAAAGCAAGTACTTTCTTACAGCCCATTCTTACACCAACCATGTTTGAAAATCTTCCAGGCTAACTACTAAAATCTAACAAAGAGGAATGAAAATGTTTGAATTTAGGATCTGGTATCTTTTGCTGTTTAGCTAG